GAAAGACGTTATGAAATATCCACACAGAGGTGGGAGACGTTGTGAAATCTCCACACAGAGATGAGAGACTTTAGGAAATCTGAACCCAGAGATGAGAGGCTAGAGAATTTCCCTAAAACGATAAGAGACTATAGGGGATTTAGCAATATTTATAAAATATTAGATTTAATTTTTCTCTCTGCTTTCATCTGTCACCATTTTCTAATCACAGGTATGGTATCAGAGAGGCGGAGAGGCAGAGAGAGAATGGGAGTGGGGCAGAGAGCGAGGCAGAGATAGAATGAGAAAGAGAGGCAGAGAGAGAATGAGAGAGAGGCATAGAGAGAATGAGTGAAAGGCAGAGAGAGAATGAGAGAGATAGGCAGAGAGAGAATGAGAGAGAAGCGTGGAGACAGGCACAGAGAGAATGAGACAGAGACAGCGACACAGAGGTAGAGAGAGGCAGAAAGAGAGACAGAATGAGAGAGAGAATGACAGAGCAAAACAGTTATATAACGGAACGTAAACCTGGTATTAAATCCACTTGTTTACTGCTTGAACTATCACACAGTGTCTTAAAGTACCGGAACTTCACAGTGAAATTTGCAAAAACCCACAAGACGACCGTCTAATTTGAAAAACACAAACTATGTATGTTTCAAACATCGATTTTTACTTTGTCTTTAATGCGACACATCCTATAAATTGTGTTAACTATTGAGACATAAACATGCAGATTGTGTCGCCACTTCACGACTGAGATGGCTTAAGTAAGACATGTGGCTTTTTTATCTTTTAAATCATCCAACGGATGCAATTATTTTAAAAATTGGACTTCTCTCTGGTAACATTTACAGGATTAGATGAATTCCCCTGAAATGTCAGTAAGTGAAGATTTGTGTATACATGTATTGCAAATAGCCCTAGACTTGAATGAATGTATATATGTGAGACACACTTGCAAGAGTTAACCAGGCATGGCGCGACTTTTGTAATTGCTATATAGTTTTCAGGTAGAGATTACAAAACACAATTCAGACAACTCTTTTTCACAAAATTAGACGTTTCGGCTAAACTGTGGTGGTCCACTGAATGATGACTTTGATATCGCACTGACTGCTTTACCTTCCCATACACTTTCCTGCTAGTAAGTCTATTTGTATCGACACAGGAGCCAATGAAAACGATTCTACAACTCAAAATGTATTTGAAATGTCTGCCTACAAAACTGACAAACTAACATGCTCGACAACGATGCTCAGGTCAAAGATCGTCATTATCAACACCATTATCATTATCATCATCATCTTTATTATCATCACCATCATCATCATCACCATCATCATCACCAATATCATCATCATCATCATCCTCATCATCATCAATATTATCCTGTTGTGGGTCTCGCCGTCAACTGTTCCATTCTGTTGTATCTTGTTCAATTTTTCGATACAATGCCTGGAATCCACTTTAGGTCATGTTTGATCTGCCATCAGCATTTGTCTTGTGGTGTCTTTTCATAGTCCTCGTTTCCCTAGCTCGTTTTCCCAACTTTTGTGCTTGTTTTTATTGCTTCTCTGTTCACTCTTTCCTGAGATGTGCCCGGCAAGCACATACTGTCATCCAGTTGATTCCTGGGATGTGCCCGGCACCCACATACTGTCACCCAGTTGGTTTCTGGGATGTGCCCGGCAAGCACATACTGCCATCCAGTTGATTCTTGGGATGTGCCCGGCAAGCAAATACTGCCATCCAGTTGGTTCCTGGGATGTGCCCGGCAAGCACATACTGCCATCCAGTTGGTTCCTGGGATGTGCCCGGCAAGCACATACTGCCATCCAGTTGATTCCTGGGATGTGCCTGGCAAGCACATACTGCCATCCAGTTGGTTCTGGGGATGTGCCCGGCAAGCACATACTGTCATTCAGTTGGTTCCTGTGATGTGCCCGGCAAGCACATACTATCCTCTAGTTGGTTTCTGTGATGTACCCGGCAAGCACATACTGTCATCCAGTTGATTCCCAGGATGTGCCCGGCACGCACATACTGTCATCCAGTTGGTTTCTGTGATGTGCCTGGCAAGCACATACTGTCATCCAGTTGGTTCCTGTGATGTGCCCAGCAAGCACATACTATCCTCTAATTGGTTCTTAGGATGTGCCCGGCAAGCACATACTGCTATCAGGTGGGTTCCGGGGATGTGCCCGGCAAGCACATACTGTCATCTAGTTGGTTCCTGTGATGTGGCCGGCAAGCACATACTGCCATCCAGTTGGTTCCTGTGATGTGCCTCGCTAGCACATACTGCCATCCAGTTGTCTGAGGTTGCTACTATATCTATTTCTCTGAATATTTTTATTTTTTTTATTTTTGTTGTTGTTATTATAAATATTTTGATTTGTTCTCTTTTTATTCCTTTTTTTTTTTCTTCTCGATTTTTTTTCTTTGTCCTCTTTCTTCTTCTTCTTCTTCTTCTTCTTCTTCTTCTTCTTCTTCTTCTTCTTCTTCTTCTTCTTCTTCTTCTTCTTCTTCTTCTTCTTCTTCTTCTTCTTCTTCTTCCTCTTCTTCTACTTCTTCTTCTTATTTTAGTAATAAGAACCTACTGAGGTGCGATTCTGCCCCTTTTGATCCAACATATTCTACCTCAGTAAAAACTTAATGAATTATCCCCTCGACACAGCAAGGTGCTAAATGATCCAGAGGAGATAAGGTGACTTTAATAGTTTTTTTCACGACATATACTAGTCAAGCAAAATTGGATCTGTTCAATATCTTTCAAAACTTGGGAACCAACCAAGGGTACACAACTCACATGAGTCGCTCTCGTCCTCTACGACACTCCAAACAGAAATCTGTGAAATTGTATTTACTGTTCCTTTCTAATGACGTCATAAAATAAGGCCTATGTGAAAGATGTCTCATGCCTGATAACACCATCCCTCGGCCATGTGATCTGACCACATTCTTAAAGACCATCCTGTTTAATTAACAAACTTCGCATAGTAAAGACGAACTACATAACCATTTGTAAAGAACTTTTTCCACTGAAAATTCATGCAAAGCGACTGTCTGTTTCTGTAGACTGGATCATGATCATTTATCCTTTCTGAAGCTTTCAATTTTTCAATATTTGAAGAGATCTCTTTCGCAACACATCGCTGATGTCATCGGTGCCTGGAACCTTTACCGCCTGTAGCGTTAGGGCGGGGTTTGCAAGGACGAATAAGAAACCAACACAGACTGGTGCCATCTGCCGATAAACGCTGCAGGATTTACTGATAAGGGGATCTGTGCACTTAGGGACTGAATGGTGCCATGTACAATAAGGATAATCTGTCGATTAACTAAGTAACTAAATGCGTGTACTTTATGTGACCATACCAATTATTGTATGTTTATGTATGTTTTTATTTTGCATGTATGCATGCACTTGTGTGTGTGTGTGTGTGTGTGTGTGTGTGTGTGTGTGTGTGTGTTTGTGTGTGTGTATACAGTGAGAGATAGAGCTGAGCATTTTGACCTTCTGCTTGAAGAAACTAATCACACCACGAATTTCATAGCTGGCGGAACAGGCAATGACAATGTCCATGTTTTTTTTTTTTTTTATTTGCAATTCGTGAACCACTGAACAAATGCGACTCTATGTTGATGTGTAGTCAGCTAGAAGACTACTGAATGATGCAAGCAATGAACCGTGTCGCAGTGGCAAACGGTTTATTTTTACAAGCTAAGCAAAGGTTGATTTTGAAATAACCCTCGTATATTGTAGGAATCCACCAGTCTCTACGGACCTTGAGCTGTGCAGCTGGTGTTTGAAACAGTGTCTGCTAAGACTGCCAAGTCCTATGTGGGACTGCAAGTCTCTTACGCATTACATAACACAACCCCTGGTCCATTCGGGTCATGGTGGCGTGTTGATGGAAGCACTTGCACATAAAACCCGCTATGTTTCTTTGTCTTCTGCTTGATGAATAAGTGTATGATAACTTAGTCTTGTCGATTTCTTGATGTTGTCATTCCAGGTTCTTCTTTGCCCTTCTCTTCTTCACCTACCCCCCAATGTTCCTTGAAGTACAGACTTGGCAATCGAATCATGGCTCACCACGTGCCCAAACCAAGCTAGCTTGCCACTTTTACCACTGCCAAGGGAGGCTCCCGATGTCCCGCAAATTGTGTTAACGTATCAGAAATGCATACTGGCTTCCGGATCAGTTTCCTCGACCTTGGTTTATCAGATATAATAAGCTTCTTTGCATTATGTGGCTTGTGCAGTCAGCCACATTCTGCCCCCCCCCCCACCACCACTTCCCCTAAATCTATTTATATATATCTTCCCCGTTCCTTTTCCCCCCATCAAAACCAAAAGCTCTAGTATCGCTCGGAGACGCTAGCTTGTAGATCGTGTTAAATGTTCGTACCCTTGTATTGTTTGTCATTTCAAGTTAAAAGAGAATCAGATGTCAAAGTGTTAAATAACCGTACGGCGAACTTCGTCATTTGTTATAAGGTTTCTGTGCGATGTACCATACATCTACAGACAAGATCGTTTTTTCAATGCTTGCATATTCCCCTCACAGTCAAATTTTAAGGTCCAGGTTTCACGGCCGTGTACAAAGGTCCTAAACAAAAGATGCATAATGCTGACTTTTTAATCGGACAGTATTATAAAGTTCATGTGCATTGTTAAGTTTAGTTACATACCGCAAACCGTGGCACTAATATAACCAACAGAAAGCATGGTAACAAATCAATCGCTGTAAGCTTTATTATTTATCTTCCTGAACACATAGAGTGTTGACTGGTTAGCGCCTAAGATAAATATGTTGGTCTCATAATTAATCATGTGAAATATAGTTGTCCCCGAAGACATAGATAATGCAGGATTCCTCACGGTCAAGGAATGGACAGGTTATTTTCTATGATAGACATTTAAGTGCCATAATGAATAATTTAACCAGATAAACATTTGATGTCAGAAATTCTTCCAAGATAAACATGTTGGTAAATTGCTTTCTCCCAAGTGCCTTCGATTCTGATGACGACGAGGACCTGCAGGCTCGATGCCATGGCCAGCCTAACTCTTGTCAGGATCTTAGTGACATGGACGTCAGTCACACAGGGTATGTCCATGCTTTTTACTTTCACCATTTCCATTCATCCATTTCACTGTTGTGACGTTTATAGATAACATTGCAGCTTTGTAATCTCTTCCTCCATTCCCTTCAACCGGTTCAACTGTTTTATTGTCACATCTTTCTTCAACGTACATCTTAGGGTTTCTTTTGGACATCTCCTTCCCCTCCACCCCCCCCCCTTTTTTTTTTCTTCCAACATTTTTTTTTTTTCAAGTGCATGTCTCGTGATGAAGACAAGGATGCTTCGAGCGGAATGTCATGCTTCACTTGGAAGGTCAGGGTAGGGAGCATACTTTGGATCTTTTCTGTAGCAGTTCCGGCGTGTTGGGGAATGAGCAGTCAGACAGACTGGCTGGATCTGCACCACGGGGTAGTTAATTGATACATCCTAGGGCAGACATGGTCAAGGCCCTTTGGCAACAAGTAATGATGTCAGTGGAGAAACTAGATTATTATGGCCTGGAGAGAATGATACACCTGGATGTGACCAGAGGGTCTGGCCGGCACAATGCGTTCAGAAGAGAGGCAAACGGACATTTAACAAGACTACGACTGGTACCATTAGTATTGGAACTCTGCGCTGGCTACTGAAAATGAGGACGGAGCGCATACGGAAATGCCCCGAGGGCTGTGGTGTCAATGCTTGACCCACCTCAACTCAGCTCAGCTTAGCCTCCAACTGTTCCTAACACGTCAGGGGTTTTCCGTGCCTAACACGTCAGGGGTTTTCCGTGCCTAACACGTCAGGGTTTTTCCGTGCCTAACACGTCAGGGGTTTTCCGTGCCTAACACGTCGGTTGTTTTCCTTTTCTTAGAACTTTGATATCAGCGGGTTTGCAAAACATGTGTTGGTTTCCTCGCCTTTCTAAAGTGTATACTAGTTCATGTTCACTAATTTCCAGACTTGAAATATAAAGATGTGAACAGTTAGTTAATTATTTATTTAGTTAGTTAGTCAGATAGTCAGTCAGTTAGCCAGTACGGTCAGTCAGTCAGTTAGTTAGTCAGTCAGTCAGTCAGTCAGTTAGCCAGTACGGTCAGTCAGTCAGTTAGTTAGTCAGATAGTCAGTCAGTCAGTCAGTTAGCCAGTACGGTCAGTCAGTCAGTTAGTTAGTCAGTCAGTCAGTCAGTTAGTCAGTCAGTCAGTCAGTCAGTTAGCCAGTACGATCAGTCAGTCAGTTAGTTAGTCAGTCAGTCAGTCAGTCAGTTAGCCAGTACTGACAGTCAGTCAGTTAGTTAGTCAGATAGTCAGTCAGTCAGTCAGTTAGCCAGTACGGTCAGTTAGTCAGTTAGTTAGTCAAATAGTCAGTCAGTCAGTCAGTCAGTTAGCCAGTACGGTCAGTCAGTCAGTTAGTTAGTCAGTCAGTCAGTCAGTTAGCCAGTACGGTCAGTCAGTCATTTAGTTAGTCAGATAGTCAGTCAGTCAGTCAGTCAGTCAGTCAGATAGTCAGTCAGTCAGTCAGTCAGTTAGCCAGTACGGTCAGTCAGTCAGTTAGTTAGTCAGATAGTCAGTCAGTCAGTCAATCAGTCAGTCAGATAGTCAGTCAGTCAGTCAGTCAGTTAGCCAGTACGGTCAGTCAGTCAGTTAGTTAGTCAGATAGTCAGTCAGTCAGTCAGTCAGTTAGCCAGTATGGTCAGTCAGTCAGTTAGTTAGTCAGTCAGTTAGTTAGTTAGTCAGTCAGTCAGTCAGTCAGTTAGTCAGTCAGTCAGTCAGTTAGCCAGTACGGTCAGTCAGTCAGTTAGTTAGTCAGTCAGTCAGTCAGTCAGTCAGTCAGTCAGTCAGTTAGCCAGTACTGTCAGTCAGTCAGTTAGTTAGTCAGATAGTCAGTCAGTCAGTCAGTTAGCCAGTACGGTCAGTTAGTCAGTTAGTTAGTCAAATAGTCAGTCAGTCAGTCAGTCAGTTAGCCAGTACGGTCAGTCAGTCAGTTAGTCAGTCAGTCAGTTAGCCAGTACGGTCAGTCAGTCATTTAGTTAGTCAGATAGTCAGTCAGTCAGTCAGTCAGTCAGTTAGTTAGTCAGATAATCAGCCAGTCAGTCAGTCAGTTAGCCAGTACGGTCAGTCAGTCAGTTAGTTAGTCAGATAGTCAGTCAGTCAGTCAGTCAGTTAGCCAGTATGGTCAGTCAGTCAGTTAGTTAGTCAGTCAGTCAGTCAGTCAGTTAGCCAGTGGGGTCAGTCAGTTAGTCAGATAGTCAGTCAGTCAGTTAGCCAGTACGGTCAGTCAGTCAGTCAGTCAGTCAGTCAGTCAGTCAGTCAGTCAGTCACCAGTACTGTGTCGCCCGGCTCTCTAGCGGAATTGGCTAAACCGGATTTCGCGGAGACCGGGTGACGTACTCCTTGTGGTCCGGGTTCAATCCCGGGGGTAGGCAGGAAAGCCACATTTTCTCCCAGATTTACGGTATTTACAATGGAATCAAGGCCGAAAGGTTGCGATATCCATAATACCGAGCCTAAGGGTTAACAACTCAAGGCTTCTGGATACTAAAACAAACAAACAAACCAGTACTGTGTTGGTTTATTTTTATTCTTATACTACCCGCGTAGTGTTCTTGTTTTGCGACCCAACCGTTTAACCTGCTATTTTTGCAATCTGACCATGGTTGCAGACTCACAGTTCTTAATTGGCTCACGCAAGCGTCTTAATTTTCTTAGAGCATTCAGTATATCAGCCTGGTCCGTGGCTTGTCCGACTTTCACAGCAGCCTTACCTGCAAGTGTACCAGCTTGCTCGTTTCCTTGTACACCCACATATCCTCGCACGAAAATGAAACTAATCCTTGTCAGCCGTGAATTCTGTAGAGCCACCAAACCACCGCCTTCGGACCCAGCACTTTTCCATCTTCCTGACAGTTGAAACAACAAACAGAATTCCAAGGACCCCGGCAGAAAAACTTAATGGTCTGGACTACGCATGTGGCAAGTGTCTAACACTCCTATCGTAAAATCAGACACAAGATAACGTGAACACACTTGATATTGGATCAAAACGGTTACATAAAACGATCCGTAAGGGAAAAACAAAGGTAATGAAAACAAACCAAGCAAACAATAACCGTGTCTCTCTTTGTTAAACCTCACTTTGAAATGTCAGGTCGTAAACGTATTTGTATAATCATGTTTTCAAAAATGGATTGTGGGGTGTGTGTATGTATGTGTGTGTGTGTGGTGTGTGTGTGTGTGTGTGTGTATGTGAAGAATAAACTAACGGAGAAATAAAAATGACGATTACAAAAAGCGAGAGATCTCCTAGAACAAGGAAGTCTCTGCGGTGAAAAAAAACAACAGTAAATTTAGGATGTTTTGTTTAATGGCAGCAAATCAGTACTGCTGTATTGGGCTGACAACTGGGGAGCTACTTAAATCATTTCTATTAAACTATAAAAAGTATCTTTCCGTCTTTCCCGACGATAGTGTTGCATAAGTCTTTTGGAAGGCATGTCAATCACAGCCCGTGGCGATTGCGAGGATGACTTGCAAGACCCGCTTGAGTTAAGATGAATCTTAACAGACAAGTTCAAGAGATTTTAAAACAGTTGTCATAGACAATTGCGTGTATTCGTCACAGACAATCACGTGTATTTGTCACAGACAATCACGTCTTTTTGTGACAGTCACGTGTATTTGTCACAGACAATCGCGTTTATTTGTCACAGACAATCACGTGTATTTGTCACAGACAATCATGTCTATTTGTGACAGACAGTCACGTGTTTTTGTCACAGACAATCACGTGTATTTGTGACAGACAGTCACGTGTATTTGACACAGACAATCGCGTTTATTTGTCACAGACAATCACGTGTATTTATCACGGACAATCATGTGTATTTGTGACAGACAATCACGTGTATTTGTCACAGACAATCGCGTGTATTTGACACCTAAAATCACGTGTATTTGACACAAGCAATCAGGTGAATTTGTCACAGACAATCACATGTATTTGACACAGACAATCACGTGTATTTGTCACATACAATCGCGTGTTTTTGTGACAGACAATCACGTGTATTTGACATGTTTCTCCTGAGAATGTTATCCTTCAACCTGTCTGCGATCTGTTTCTATTAGGTCTCTATTTCTGTTTTTTAATCTTTTCCTTCCATGCACTGCGATCCGTTTCGTGGTGTTCACACCAGTCCACCCGGACACCTCTAGCATTCCTGGCTCGCTTGCACAACTCCTTCAAGTAAAGAAGAAGCCTACTGCAACACTTTCTGCATATCTGTAATTTATCATACAGGATGTCATAGGGAACTCTACCAATCTACACCCTCCACCCTCCAAGTGTGTCGTAGCCAGCTGAGTTTTCGAAGACGCAGCATTGTGAAACTGTTGAGAGCCCTACTCTTTCCACTGCTTCAATGGCATCTTGCCCCGCCACGTTATACATTATTTACATTTAATAACTGTTGCTTTTTTTTAAAGGTTTAAAAAAATGTGCAATGCTTGCAAACAAAAATATCTATACATTTTATTTTGTCTCACCATTACTATGCTGTTTAAATCACCTCTACCTGAACCTATTTTTAACCTTTAATTGTTGCCTGCACAGAATACATGAAATTAAAATGAGACAATGATGTGACAATACATTTTTCATTATTCTGTTAAATTCAGTGTATTGTCTGATATAGGGTAATTTTGAGCTTCGGAGTTTTGTGCGACGCTGTCCGCGGGTATCTGGCCATTCCGCGAAAAGAGACTAAGTGATGAATGATCAAACCTTGTACAGCGAAGTCGATTCCTCGACTTAATCTTCCAACCTTTTTCCCAACCTTCCCAACCTTCCCAACCTATTTATGTGAGAATGTGACCATTTAAACTTCAAGTGATTCTGATTTGAAGGAGAAATGGAAAAAGTGCATACTACGTAAAGAATAGTCCGACTAAATACACAGCGTAGTCTGTCGTCGTCGTTATTTCCATCTCTGTGATAGGACTGTACCTCAAACTGTACTGTACCAGCATAAGTTTTGCATGTAGCAGCTACCTTAAACTGTACTGTACCAGCAGAAGTTTTGCATGTAGCATTCACCTCAAACTGTACTGTACCAGCAGAAGTTTTGCATGTAGCATCTACCTTAAACTGTAATAACGGCTATCCTCCGAATAACGGGCACTAAAGATGGCGGCCGCAAAATATCCTTTCCAGCCTTAATCACGTGACCTAATTTGCGGCGGTTTTCCGGCGACTACCGCCACCACTCACGCGGCGTGGATTGGAGCTAAACTAGTTGGCTAGGACTCACGAGCGAAGCTGCAGTAGATGCGGAAGGCGGTGCCGGTAGTCGCCGGAAAACAGGAAATTAAGTCACCGGAAGTGCGCAATCGACACGTGACTGAGGCTCGAAAGGATAGTTTGCGGCTGCCATCTTTAGTGCCCGTTATTCGGAGGATAGACGTAATAACCAGCAGGAGTTTTGAATGTAGCATTTACCTCAGAGTGAAATGTACCAGCAACAGTTTTACATGCAGCATCTGCCTCAGACTGTATTGTACCAGCAAATTAGGAAGTGCTTCTTGTTCACACCTGGAGCAACTGTATCTCCACTGTGTCATGTATTTTTAAACAATTACCCAAAAATTCACAATGAAAAGGAACTGATTTCCTCTAACAGAAGGAAACTGGACAAATCTCAATTAAATCTCTTTGGTAAACACTAATTTTATTTTCCCTCTCTCATCTAAAAACATACATGTATATCTATGAACATCCTGACTTGTATAAAGTACAGAGAAAACATATTAGGTAGCCTATAGTATTGTTGTAAAAAATGCTATGGAAGAAAAACTATTGCTTTCATATCGACTGTGCATACTCATTATAAGCGGTGCACTCTCATTGTGGATACACTATATCAAAATTATTTGGACCAGTCTCTGGGTAAGTGGAAAAAACTTCTCCATAATTTACTAACTAACCTCTCACAGAAAGTCACTTGCCTCTTTACTAATAAGTAACTTACAGTATAATATATGGTGAAGTATTAATCCTAAACCACTTGTGTTTATTTTTGTGAATCATCTTCTGCTTCGCGATCACTGGCTGTAAACTCTGGCAAACTTCTTCTCATAATTATTCTCAGTAAAATCTTAGTCATGTGACTCATAAGACTTATTGTGAGATGGTCTGTTTGTGCTGTTTGTACCATGAAAATAAATATTTAGTTGTGCTACAGTACTGTTAACAAAAGTGCTCTGAGTGAAAAATTATTGCACATATCAGTTTAATATTAACTGTGCATTTTTTTAAAAGTGTATTTAATCTACTCAGCTTTTTAAGCAAGTCAGCTGATTGTTTTCTAACTATTAACCAACAGTATTTTTATATGTTGTAGTAGTCTACTAATAGTAATAAAAACCATCAATCATTTAAATTTATGTTATGTATGCAGTATTTTCAAGTGCTAAATTTGATGAGGTACACCCACCCCCCACCCCCCCCCCCCAACCCTGTCCTCTAATGCAATACCCCCTAAAATTTATTTTCTTCTGCTGAAATAACTTCGAGTTTATTTCCACGCGTTATTGGTGTTTATGTTAATCTTCACTGTAGCAAAAGCATCGTTTTTGGGGCCTGTAAGAGCCTTTATTGTTATATTTTAATAGCACACTTTTTACCTTTAAAATGACATATAATTCGATAAAATATGTTGCAAATTAATGAAACTGTAGTTTAGTTTGTGTATACATATCCTCGATAAAAACTGTGAACACAGAGTGGCCTCTCGACTTGCACAAGAACGGGAATCCCCGTTGATCTAGTTGGCCTATAAATAGGGTCGACCGTAGCACAAACTTAGTATTGTAAACTCATGGCGTTTACTATTACGCATAGACACGGGAAAAAGGAGAAGAATGCATAGACACGGGAGAAAGGAGAAGAATGCATAGACACGGGAGAAAGGAGAAGAAATAGGAGGACATTAGTCAACAACAGAAGTTGAGATTATGGGGGAGGGGGGGTGATTCATTTAAAGACTACAGAATATTGTGTTTATCAAATTCAACACATGATTCATGTTGGTTTTCAGTTCTTTTTGTGTTAATTCCTTTAATTAGTACTTTACTGCATTATGTTATTCTTGGTCAGTATAAACGAAATGTGTTTGTGAATCAGAGAATGAAGATGCCTACAAACAAATACAATCTTGGTCGTCTGTAAAATTTTGACCAGGAATTGTTATGAGAAGTAAAGACAGCCGACGTGATTTTGACCACATCATTCATGGAGTGCCTCGTGGCCTCTACAAATATATATATATAGATATATATCACAACTGGCAGGTCAGATAAATGTATATAAGGTTATTGTATATGGCTCTGAAACTTGAAGCACAACTAAAATAGTTGAAGCCTTATGATAAATCTTTGAACAGAGTGTCTTTGTTCGCATTAATGATACAAACAGCGGGGAGAGGAGAGTAACAAGCAACAACAAATTTCATAACCTGTTTAAATTACCGTTGATCGCTGGCATTATGAAAGCTAAAAGACTGAAATGGCTGAGGCATATTAGGAGAATGTCAGATGACAGAGATGTATAAAATGTTTACACGAGGGAGCTAAATGGTCATAGACAACGAGGCAGACCGAGAAGACGATGGAGAGATAATATCCAATCAGACCTACAAACACTTGGTGTCACCAATGGAAAGACAAGGCTAACCAGATAGATAATTGGATGGGGAAAAAAAGGGGGGGGGGGGGGGTATCTGTGGCAATGAATACAAAGGATTTGGAATGCTGAAGAAGAAGAATTATGCCAGCGGTCATTTTCTTGACTGTTTATGTGATACAGACTATTCCTTGACTGTTTATGTGATACAGACTGAGTCCGGTAACCAGACAGAACCACAGCGAGATCGAGAAACGTCGTCGAGACAAGATGAACACGTATATCGTGGAACTGTCCTCGCTCATCCCTATGTGTAGCGCCATGAACCGAAAGCTGGACAAGTTGACGGTGTTACGTATGGCTGTCCAGCATATTAACTCTCTCAAAGGCAAGTACGTTTGTGGTGGTGCAGTTTATACGTCTGCTGTCTCTCTTGTCATTATTTAACCCTTTCAGGACTGTCATCTTAATAGTGCTGTCAAAATTTCACATCAACTGATAATTAGATACTTATTTTTGCTGTTTATTTCAGATTATATTTTTTCCGCATTATGTATGGACGCTCAGACAAAGGTTGACTGTTTTAAGTGACCTCCATCATATGGTTATGGCTCTTATTAATACCCAGATATGTAGTAGAAATGACATCGCAGAGGAGATCTGCACAACTGATCTAACAGCAAGTGGATGCTCAGCACTAATTATATCGCTACCTGAGCATGTGGAAATTGAAGGATATGCAAGGGCGGATAGAGATGAAACAGACGGCAGTAAAAATAAAAATCTAATACATGTAGCAATAAATAAGGGTAAATTTAAACATGTAATTTAAAAATAATAATAATGACAGAAGAATGGGCAGGGATGTGGAATAGGAGCTTGAGTGGAAGAAGTGTCTGCGAACTGTGTAAGGCTCCTACTAGAAACTGTCAAAATAAAAGAATTTAAAATACCTCGCAATCAAAAATTACGGAGACTTTGAGTGGCTTATTTCAGTATAGCAGACTACACCTGTTCTGTATGTCAGACACATAATGATATTTCACATTATTTACTCCATATGAACTCAAAGTTCTCCACTTATTGAATATACGAGATCATTTTTAATATTCGTAAAAATAGACTACATAATATAACTATGTTTGTTTGAAAGTTTATTCAAATTGTATTGAATGAGGTAATCGATACTCCTATAGTCGTATAAAATCAATACATAAGCTATGCGATATTGCATACACAAACATAACTGATGGGCATGAACAGACATTATTGAAATAGAAAAAAAATTAAAACCCCGATTTTGGGAACAGAATCGTGTTGTTTAAATTACTACTGCTAGGTCCATAGATGTGTCAACAATCTCAGCGTTGATTTAAACTGTTTTATGATGCAAGTTTCCATTGTCTTAATTAACAGTTATCTTTAAAATTGTCAGTATTACGTCTTTTCACATAACAGTCTTTGAACAGAGTTTTAAAAACAAATGAAATTATCTTTCTCTCATGTGGTTTGTTTTTTATAGTGATTTTCCTTCATTATTAGGTGATCTTGGTTTTCTGTTTAAAAACTGAGCCCATAATTTGAATGTCGCAATGTATTCTTCTATGACGAAATGCATTGTTTGATTTTTGAATGTATTAATTGAAATCGAAACCTATTGTCCTATTGCGGATTTCGTTGTTTTGTATTTAAATTTATTGATTTGTTGCGAAATTTATTGTTTTATGAACTAGAAATGCTTTTTTTTTGTGTGTGTTGTTGTTGTTCGGATTGATCAGTAGCCGAATGTATGAATCCTTGTAATATTCAGTGGTGACACGCACAAATTGCTTATGTGAAAGAAATCCTAACTAGTAAGTTATGTTAATGACTACATTTATTACAATATATGAACTGTGACAGTTCAACACAGCCTGGTTGATGGCGGTTAGAAAACTCGTACCTTGTTTGTCGCTTTTATCGTCTAAGAAGCTGACTGACCCTAATTATCTGAAAAAAAAGATAATTCAATTCATACTTACAGTTCACACATTTACCCAGATTGTGACCGGTACCATCAGTATTGGAACTCTGCACTGGCTGCTTAAGATGAGGACGGTGTATGCAAAAAGGAATGCCCCGAATGCTGTGTTGTCAATTCTTGACTCAGCTCAACTCAATTCACACTTCAGTTTTTTGTACAACCGGTTGGCATGGGCTATGATTCTATTATATATATATATAATTTATGTATGTGTGGTGTGTATCTATATATATATATATATATATATATATATATATATATATATATATATATAGATATATATATATATATATATATATATAAGTTATGGTTATTCATCCACTGCTGGGCTTTGGTCGTGTTTAAAAACTCGTAGGAAAATTGGAGGGGAGGAGAGGCAGAGGGGAAAGAGAGAACAGATGCTTGGGCGCTGGATCATGGCTGGAGGGTCTACCAACGGGACCTGTTCTGACATCATGGGATAGAGGATCTACCAAGCCACAAAGTCCTTTCTCATGGGGTGGAGGGTCTACCCAAAGCCACACTGCTCATCATGGGGTGGGGGTCTACCAAAGCCACCTGTCGACATCATGGCGTGGAGGATCACCAAACCCACACTGTCGACTCATGCGTGGAGGGTCTACCACCCCCTGACTGCTCAGCGTGGAGGATC